CTTCAGCGGCCCTACTTTTAGACTGTTCAGTTTTGGTTCGACCTTCGGTGGCTCTTCAGTTCTGTTGTTGATGTGTCTAGTTTTTTCCCCATATTCGGTGTTATAGGATCAATTTTCAACGTTGATATTGTGCTGAGCTACATCTTTTTATACGGGCTATTCATTGACTTATTGCTATGAAGAGTTTGTATGGTGCTGTGAATAATTGCTGAATTGTTAAGAGATCTGGGATTTTTTAGGATGTGGATATATTAGGACAAACACTAGCTGGATGTGACTTATCGCAAGGCGACTTTCTTAATGGTCTATCCAAACGGACGCTGCACGGTTTCTATTTAAATTTGGCATCATCGATTCGATGTGCATCGGAATCCTCGCCCAACGCCGAGCTGATTTCCTCACTAATTCAAGGTAAGATATAGTTTTTCCACACACACCGAACTTTTTCGTTTGCCATTTTTGGAGCTTAATATTCAGCAACTCTGAATTTTGAGGCTATCCCTAATAAGTGTTTTGGAAATTTTAAAAAAATGTAAACTATGAAAGTTTGTTTGGCATTATAGGCCAGCCGATGAGAGGGACACAGTCGATTTTTGACACTTGTGGGAAAGCAGGGAGTGCTAATTCAGATACCCAGATAAGCGAGCCTGTATGTGCATTAGCTTTAGTGGATATGATTTTAATGTATATTTCGCTTTGATCGATGAAAAAAGCTACTTGCAAAGTGAATGCTGCAAAAAGTAGGAGAGCTGTGTGTGCAAATTCAGCATGATGCAAGCAGAATAAGAAGAAAATGGATTTTGCTTCATTTTTGGCCGGGATTTTCTCAATTTGTCATTCATTTGGTGATTTTTGGCCTACTAAAATAGTTCAAGTGACTTTTTGCAAATCCACTATAGCAGATCTGTAGCCCGGGGGATAAGGAATTGCTTAATTTCTGGACCAAACGTTGCTACTACGAAAAGGTCTGGAATTCTCAAAGCGCTAGTACAAGTTCCTTAGTGTGTGCTGTTGAAAAATTTCGGTTGTTTTCATTGTTTTGTATGTGAAATACGGCGAAGGACCGAACACAGTGCAGTGTGGAAGGGCGGTAAAGTTTGCTCCACTTGTGGCCTGGGGGCTTTTCTCATGGCCTTGGATTTTAATTGAGACTGTAGGCGTGCTGAAAACCGTGCTTTCTTGAAAATCTGGAACCCATCTAACATGAGGCACTGAGGAAACCGGTAAAAAAAAAAGCGGAAGGTGTGTATTTGTCGTTGGTTTTTGGGACATAGAACAAATTTTTTTGCATTTTTTTTAGTATCTTTATGTTATTCCACCAAAACTACCGGCAGAAAAAGACTCCCAAAAAAACAACAACCACGTATTCCAGTAATAATGCGGAGCATATGGCCTAGGGAGGATTAGAAAGTAAAAATCTGCTAAAACCACCAGCATTTCAAATCTTCCCCTTTCCCCCCCCCCTTATCCCCCGTAACTTGCTTCATTACAGTACCGAAATTGTCCAGACAACCTTCAGGGTTGTCTTTAGTGATCGCTGTAACGTTCCCTGCCTATTTTTGTCATAAAAGTCGAAACCGCGAGCATTCCAAACTCCCCCTCTCCTCCTTTCCCTCCCCCTCTCCTTCCTTTCCCTCCACGCCCCTCGTAACTTGCTTCATTACGGTCCAGAGATTGTCGAGACAGCCTTCGGTGATGTTCTTGGTGATCGCCCAAACGTTATTCCTTCTCTTCTTTTCACAAAAGTAATACCAAATGAGCTGATTTACAGCATCAAATAATGCATCACGTTGGGAGACATTTTTGAAAGATGTGCGTGAATATGAGGAGAAAAATCGTGGGGACGACACCGGAATCACTCCCCCACCAGCTAGCAATATTGTAGACACAGCGAAAATTGATGCCTGTGACATGCCCGATCAAATGGTCAGTAATGCAACACAGGTACGTTTTCGCCAT